GGGTTAGAACTGAAGAATCATTGTTCAGACCTAAACTCAACTGGAAATGTGTGGCCAGAGTTGAGTATATTGACAAATACTTATATATGCTATCCAATATGATTCAAGTGATTTAAAAACAAGAGAGAGTCATATGTCATCAAATGAAAACAAAAGAAAAACTACTCCAGACGTCAGAAACAGGAGATCATCTTACAGATATCAGATCGCAAACACAGAGACCGGCAGTTTGTGACCATTAATCTCTCTGATTGGACATACTGAGATAATCTGAGAGAGCCATGCAGTAGTAAGTTTAATTTTAACCAGACTGGACAAAGACCAACTCTCTCTCTCTCTCTTTTCACCTATGGTTCACACTCTATGAGCTGCTGTTGTGCAACATAGACATAATGCATATGAGTGTATCTTATTTTTTTTTAAAATGGGTTTTGAAAATGTATTATTTTTTTAGTCCTTTTCTATTCACATTATATCAATATTAGGTGTTGTTGTTATCAGTATATTATTTGTTTACTTCTTTGCAGCCATTGAAATTCCTGGAGTTTAATGCTGCTGTAGATGAAGTCAGTAGGTATTGTAGGGGAAAAGGTGGTTAAATGTCCTTTTTTTCCCTCGGTGTCAGAGAAGGCTGAAAGCCCCCCCCCCCCCGCCCCCCGCCCCCCCCCCCCCCCCCCACACACACTTTTAATATTCATATAAATATGAATATGGGATATATACATACAGTAGCTTGTGAAAGTATTTGGCCCCATTTTGACCTTTTGCCACATTTCAGGCTTCAAATATAAAGATCTCAAATTTTAAGTTTTTTGTGCAGAATCAACAACAAGTGGGACATATTCATCAAGTGAGACAAATTTTAATGAATATTTTTAAACCTTTTAAATAAATATAAAACCTGAAGAAAGGGGCGTGCAAAAAGTGTCGTCCCCTTTACGTTTCAGTGCAGAACTCTCTGCAGAATTTCAGTGAGGATCTCTGAATGACTCATTGTTTACCTAAATGACTGATGATGATAAATAGAATCCACCTGTTTGTAATCTAGCTTCTGTATAAATGCACCTGCTCTCTTATAGTCTCATAAGTCTGTTTAAAGCTAGGAACAAGGAACGCACCAGGCAGGTCTGAGATACTATTGTGGAGAAGTTTAAAGCTAAATTTGGATACGAAAAGATTTAGCAAGCTTTAAACCTCTCAAGGAGCCCTGTTCAAGCGATAATATTAAAATGGAAGGACTATTAGACCACTGCTAATCTAGTAGGACCTGGTTGTCCCTCTTCTTTCAGCTCCAACAAGGAGGAGACTGATTAGAGATGCAGCCAAGAGGCCCATGATCCCTCTGAATGAACTGCAGAGATCTACAGCTGAGCTGGGAGACTTTATGGAGGAAAGCCATTTTTTAGAGGTAGCCATAAAAAGTATTTTTTAAAGTTTGCCACAATCCACCTGGGAGACACAGCAAACATGTGTAAGAAGGTGCTTTGGTCAGTTGAAACCAAAATCAAACTTTTTTGGAACAATAAAAAAATTGTATATTGTAAAGAAGTAGCCCAGCTCGTCACTCTGAACACACCATCACCACTGTCAGATATGGTGGTAGCACCATCATGGTTTGGGCCTGCTTTTCTATTGCAGGGACAGGAAAGATGGTTCAAACTGATGGGGAGATGGATGGAGCTAAATCCAGGACTATTCTAGAAGAAAACATTTTAGAGGCTGCAAAAGACCTGAGACTGGGATGGAGATTTATCTTCCAATATGACAACGATCCAAAACATAAAGCAAAATCTACAGTGGAATGGTTCTCAAATAAACATATCCTATGTTAGAATGGCCAAGTCAAAATCCAGACCTGAAGGAAATAACTGAAAACTGCTGTACAATTAATTCAATTAGTTAATTTTTAGAGCTCCAATTCACTACACATGTCATCTCAAGGCACTTTACAGTTCAACCAGATCATGCAGTCAAATTGATTCAAAGTTTTCAATCTAAGGAACACCAGTTGACTGCATTGACTCAAATGCAATCCTTCACACTAAGCATGCTTGTAGCGACAGTGGAGAGGAAAAACTCCCTTTTAACAGGAAGAAACCTCCAGTAGAACCAGGCTCAGTGTGAGCGGCCATCTGCTGAGGCCGACTGGGGTTCAAGGAGACAGAAGCAGAGATACAAAAGGCAACTGTAAAAGGCGGCCCCGTCCCAGGAAACAGGAAACTATCAGGTTCCTATCCTGTGGAATCAACAATCAATTTTGGCCTGTGAGGCAGACGCCCTGTCTACTATTAGGATAAGTCCTAAAACTTTCGTTTTTTAAAATGCCTATAGTGGCTCGGGTCATCCTGAGCTATCTCTATAGTTATGCTGCTATAGGTTTAGGCTGCTGGAGGACATAGATACCATCTTTCATTAATCTGCTTAATTTTATCTCTATTCTTTAATTCTTTAATATTTGTTAGCTCAACTTCTAACTTTATGCTCTCTTTGCTTGTTCTCACCATAGGGAGTTCCTGTTTATCTTTGACAACATGTAAAAAGATTCTCCTGCAGTCACTTGATTTCACAGAAATTTTAAGCAGATAAAGCTCCCACTGCTTTTATTTAAAAACACATGTTATGTATAGCGTATAAATACAGAACAGCGAAAACACTTTGCTGCTAAAATATACAGAACAGCTGAACTGGAAGATTTTAAGGAATTAAAAGATGAACTTATGAACTGCTATAATGCAACACAGCCGCATGGAGAACAGCAACTAGACACTAGACACAATGCAATCAATGAACTTTAGGATATTGATGTCATGGAAACATTAAGAACAACATGTAACTGATAAACAATACATTTTTAAGTGCAAACAATTACATTTCTACAGTGTTAATGTGAAGTATGCATCACAGTGATTGGATCAAATGGAGGAACCTTTAGCTCCAACCTTTTGACCCAATCTTGGAATAAAGACGCCACTGTTTGTCTTTCTGAACAAGTTTTTGAAATCTGCACTTGTGACTCAACTTCTCTGTTTTTTTAAAGTAATTATTAAAAGAGAAACTCCAGGCATGTCAGTAAAACGAAAGGACACTGCAGAGGAGAACAAGGGTGACAGGGTGGCAACAATGTCACCGTAAAAACCTTCTAAGTTCCGAACATATACCCGCTGTGAACAAAAGTCTCATTGTTGTTTGAGGTTTTGAGCTGCAGTGTCATATAAGTCATTCACTGGTCCTATAAGGTTCAGCAAGGGGGCGGAATGGCGGGATCCTGATTAAGTCTGAGTGAGCGTCTGTGTGTAAGGATGATGCAGCTCCTTAGTGAGGAATAAATTAAAGAGAGTGACGACAGACACATCTAACGGACCAGGATCTGCGTAAGAACATTAATCATTCTCTAAATGTGTGCAAATTTAAGCTAAAAGGGGAAACAAAATAACCTCTTGACCTGTGAAAACACTAAAGAAATGTGCTACCTTCTCTGTAAAGATGTCATATTTACGATGGGAATCTCTGCTGGAGATTTTATTCTTTTTTTTGTTCTTGAAGCCTTCTAACCTCTTGGAGTGAGAGCTGTGGGGATGAGGGCCACCAGAGAGCCCCCCCCCCCTCTGTCTGCTACTGTACTCTGTGGCTCATTTTTACAGAGGAGCTGTGTTCAAACCGGGGTCTAAGGGCAAAATGGGAAAAAGAAGCGCGCACTTGTGTGTTTTTGAGGCTTGGCTTTATGAGCACATTACTGCACATGGTGTCTCTGATGTGTTTACTCTTATCTTTTGGGGGGTCCTATATTAAGTACAGGAAGTGATTTTTTTACATCCAGAAGCTTTGATCTGCCTCTAATGTCCTACATTAGCCATCTTTTGTCCACCCCCTCCTCCCCTTATTACTGGAGGAAGCCCTCATTGTCCTGCTGTTTCCCCTCATTTCATGTTTTTATGGGGCACAGTTCTAAAGCGTGCCGCTTCAGCATTCTGCACGTGGCACTGAGGCACGTTCACCACTTCACACACTAAGATGTCAAATTCAAACCTGACTAAGAATGCTTTTGTTAAGAGAATTAATAGAACATTAAAGAGTCTCAAAGAGGCCATGTAACTTTAACTTTGTGTGATGTTACAGACTTTGGGTGTATTTTTTAAAGCTTTCACGGGATAAACTAATACAAAGTAGAACATAACTGTGAAGTGAAATGAAAATGATAAATGGCTTGGTAGGCATTGGTTTTCATTCCTCTTTTAATCTGATACCTGCAAATAAAATGCAGAGTAAATAGCCTTTTTAAAGTCACCTAGGTAGTAACTGCACTAGCTGAGTTTAATTTAATCTCAGAATAATATGACTAAAACCAGAATAAACAAAAAAAAATGCAACCTGAACATACCATACTTATTGTGAAGCATATTGTTGGCTGCAACATGCAGAGGGGATTGATAAGTTTGATGGAATAAAGAAAGGAGGTAGATAGAGGAGGATCCTGGATGATAAATGTGAAAGCAGGATGAAGGTTCGCTTTACAACAGGCCAGGTAAGCTAGAAATGCAATCAGAACTACTAGTAGAGGCCTAAAGAGGCCCAACAAAGTACTGACTCTGGGATACTTCATAAATTTTCAGGTTTTCATTGTGTAAAAAATTTGTTCACCATTTTAAACTGAACTTCCACTTTACGATTATGCTCCACTAAGGATCATTCTGTAACATTAAATCCCAATAAAACATATATTGAAGTTTTTTTGGTTGGAACATAAAAAAGGGGAAAAAGGCTATGAGCAGATTAACGGGAAAACTATAGCTTTTAATTAAAGCAATTTATCTTTACAATGGGATTTAATGCTTTATGAGCCGTCTGGCTGTTCACAAGTTTTTCCAACGAGACCAATTAGCCAAAGCAGCGTGTATATCTGTGCTGAGTAAGCTTTTATGTTAACATGGAGAGCTCCCTCTGAAGTGGATTATTCATTGCTCTCTGACTCCTTCCTTCCACTACACGTACATTGTTCTTACTTTAAATTCATACAGTCATTCGTGTCGCTGTCTTCTTCCTGCAGAGGAGGGGTAGGGGCCTGGCGGTTTCTGCTGAGGAAGTTGAGAGCAGGGCGGGAGACCTTCGAGGGAGGGGGTACCGGGGAGGAGGAGGAGGGCAGAGGAGCCACAGTGGCCCTGACCCTGCTACTGGATCCAAGCTGGCGGTTTGGAGGCTGTATTGAGACAACACACGCATTGTGTCCTCTTATGTGTTGAAAACTAAGTCCACAAACCATTTTCTTTCTCTTTTTTTTTACTTTCATAAATATATATTTACTTAACACCCAACTGAGAGTGATAAAAGCATAACTGAATTGAAATTGAATTACATCTGAACTGCAGATTGTGATTGTTCTTCCATTTCTGACAATGAAACCTATGAAAAATCCTAAAACAGCTGTTTCTGATTCCAGCTCATCAGGAGCTACTTTCTCCGTATTTTCCATGTTAAAGACACACAGCATTCAAACCAGGGGGTCATCAGCGTCCCTTTTGAACTTGATTATAAGCTGAGCAGCTAACACAGCTACCACAGACAGGGAACGCCAGGCCTCTCAACTGGAATTGGAGAGAGCTGATCTAAAACAAAGAGTCACGCAGAGATCAGAGCGTGACCCCGATTTGAAATGAGAGCGGCTCATTGAGGAGGAGGAAGTCAGAGGAAACATTGTCAGAGAGGCCTCACCCACCCAGCTAGAACCTGCACCACGACAGCGGCCTTTAAAAAATGACAATCTTAAAGTTGTTCAATGCATCTCTGTTCACCCTTGGTTACTCTGACACCCTTAAATAAAATCCGACGCAGCTAATTGCCTGAAGAAGTTAAATTCCCTTAGCGAGCAGTTCCAAATCTCACAGAACAGTCATAGTCCATCGTTAAAACATGGCAAAACTGCATGCGGACCTAAACAGAACTTTTTGATCCACATAAATACCGGATGGAGCTAAAAGAGGAAGCAGGGAAAGAATACCACAGTGTTTTAGAGTGGCCTAGTCAAAGTATATTACCAAAAAAAGGAGAGACTTTATGAGATTCCTCCATTTATCCGTCCATTATAATCCTATTGAGTAAATAATCTTTTCTTAGAACATGTTTTTATCAAAAAAAACACAGCTGAATCCACCAGATTTCTAACTGAAAAGAAATGGATTAAAAACAGAAAGACGAAATATAAAAATAACTTCATATTAAGACATCAGAGTTTGGCTCCAGAGCTAACAAAAGGGCGCAACACAAGACATCAAAGTCCTGAACATGTATTGAAGCCAACTATTTGCATGTCAGCAGCCTTATCAGGCCCAGTGAGTCACAGGGCCTACAGCTATGACACTCTGGGGTCACAGCCAGCCTCTGCTGATAGAAGGAAATAAAGCGACAGCTTGGGAATATCTTTTACAACACAACATAAAAACTGTCCACCAGAGAGATAATAACATATTTGAAGTCCTTTTCTAAGAAATTTCACTTATAAATCTGGATCAGAAATCTCTTTCCGTAGAAAATATCTTTTTTTTTTTTGCTTTTTTCTATTACCTAAACTTTCCTTTGGTCTGGTAGAGTGATAAATTGGCATTTATGAGTCACTGTCCTAAAATATAAAACAAAAGACTGATTCAGAGTTATCTGCTTTTGATCTTAAAACATGCAGAATTACTCTGAGTCAACAGGACCTTCTATCATAACGCTTGAGGTTTAGATCTAAATGTAATCTGATTTATGATCTTTGCAGCAACATCCCAGAAGTGCAGTTTGTCTGGCTTTTAACTTCTAGCCAATATGTATGTATACGAGTAAGCTTTAATTTTGTCACATTTTTGTTTTCAATCTCTGGGTACTAAATCTAAAAAAAATTTAAGTATATTAACATTTTACTGCATTTGATTTTAGTTTAATCTTTCTTAAAGCTGTCTGTGTTTACTCCATACCGACACCTAGTGGGCCAATAAGGAACTCTGAAAGTAAAGAGGAAGTTACCCAGAGCATGGCCTAAAAGAGGTTAGTAATAAACTGCCTCACCAACAATGTTTCCATTTATCTTATGATTCCCACGAGGTGCAGCGGCTGACCTTTACCCATCTGTTTATCATACCTGTCGGTGCTGACGGCTGACTGCGTTCCTGCTGCTTTCTGCTGCCAGAGGCTGCTCTCTGTGGGTGGCTGTCGACTGCAGCCTGGAAGTAAAGGAGATGTTAAATTTATCATGTGGTTGTTATACTTTGCTGTTAATGTCCATTTCTTGCACATCCATCACATACAGTGTCTTCCACAATTATTGCAATTATGTGTAAAATTTTGACAATCTTAAGCTATATTTCAAGGCATTTTTGCTATATTTCAAAACTTTTTTGCACCATTTTTAAGTTTTGTGTTTCAATTGCTTTCCCCCTATGTTTGGATCATGATCCTGTTTAGAGACCCAGGGATTTCTATGTTGTGACAGAGCCTACCTGATTGATATTTGAATTAGGGCAGTTAATCTGATTAATCGTGAGTAATTGATTATTGAAATAATTGTCAACTATTTTAGTAATCAATTAACTGGTAACTGGAGTATAGAGACTCTCAAACATGCCCTTAGCTGATAGAGCAACACACTTAGAGCAGCAATTCTATCAAGATTAAAAAAAATATATATATAAGCATTTTGCATTAAAGATAAAAAACTTTTTTTTATCTCTCAATATGCTCTATCCAGAACACCTCAAGTGGAAAAGTTTTAGTTTCACCTGCTTTCATTTCGTAAAAATTCTTCTTCAAGGAACCTTTGGCTATCCGATTATTAATTGATTAATCAAATAGATAATCGAAAGATTCATCGACTTGCAGAATAATTGTTAGTTGCAGCCCTAAATCGAGCTGATGCAATCTACTCTAACAATCTACTCTAACAAGGTTCCCTGAGTCTTTGGAAAAGAAATGGCTGTTTATTTACATGCATTTGACAGCTGGACAAATATAATATCTGAGTTAAAAGATACGGCCTCTATGTGGCAGCGAAAACAGGTAGTCAAATTGAAGGCACGCAGAAGAGTACGAGAGCGTTATGGTGACAGTTATGAAGTTAGTTTGGAGTTGAATGTTAGATATTTTAGCTCACAGTTGATCCAATACAGTAACTCAGATCCTATGGAGTTCCATTAGAACCAAAAATATGTTTATGTGTCTATGCATAGTTTTTTGTTTATGTTTTATGTACTTATGCCCAAGGAAGTTGTATGTTATGTGCACATGTTTATATAAGGTGTTTTTTATGTATATGTTGTTATTAAGTCCATTAATATAGCACATTTTTGTTGTAAGAAAATGAAGTGCTGCATACAATAGCATAACACAGAAAATTACATTCATTAAAAAAGAAGAAAAACATATGATAATAGCATAAAACGAAGTTGGACTAGTAATGTGTGAGTAGCACAGTCAATGGTCACGCTAAATAAATATTTTCTATCAGAATTTTCAGCAATTTCAACACTTTTACAGTTTTTTTTTTAGAATTTTGTTTCTAGTTTTACATGTATATATACTAAACCAGTCCGCTACCGTTTAAATTAACGTCCTTTGTTCGAAAAACAATATTTCAGTTTTGTTTTGATTGAGCTGAAGAAAATTTTGTTGACTCCTTTAATCCTGGAGTCAACAAATCTATGGTTCCATTGTGTAAAACGAAACTTTTGAGATGTTGGCCACTTTTCTGTGATACAGAATATTCTCTTTGTCGTATATTTCTGAGACATATGACACCACATGACCACATTGTAGGTTTCTGCCAAAAGGGGTTTTGAATTTCTGATCAACAAAGGTTTAGATCGGATCAGGGAGATTTTGCACATAGCTAATGTGGAGAATGGCCTCATTTGTCTTAGTTTTAGTTGTTGATTTAAAGGTTTAAATCAGGGGTGCCCAAGTCCAGTCCTCAAGAGCTACCATCCTGTAACTTTTAGATGCATCTCCTCTCTAACACACCTGAATCTAAAGCATCAACCCCCTCATTTAGCTCAGCAGAGGCATGGTAACGTGCCACTCATTTGATTCAGGTGTGTTAAAAATGGTTGCATCAAAATAGTAGCTCATAGCAGCTCTTGAGGCCTGGACTTGCGCACCCCTGGTTTAAATCATTGCTCTCAGTATCTAAAAGTAAGTTAAGGCAAGTTGGTTCAACCTTTCACCAATTCCCTGACTTATTAAAGAACGACATTTGTGTCATATTAATGGCATCAAGATATTTTACCTGTTTTGAGGAGAGTAAGCCTGCTCTAAGAGCCCAGGGAAACTCCAGGGGATTATCAGGTAAAAGTTTCTAAGAATTCAATTTAAAAACAAAGGAATTTTTCGAGGAGCACTAATTGTAACTCCAGTTACATGACATATATCCCTGAATTAAAGGCTGTGTTTACCCATTTATTTTTAGTGTGAATTTAAGGTAGTTTCTCAGGTGTTTCATCCTGAGAGGGATAAATCGACTGACCTGTAGGGGTATCGTGGCTGTGAGAGACCTCTGCTCCTGAGCTGCTGGTAGAGGTTACTGCTCAGTAAGAGAGGGTTCAACACAAACTCCTTATCAAGCTGAGAGAGACAACTCTGAGACACACAGAAAACACAATCACCTCACATAACGCACTCATGTGAGTCAGAAAAAGCTAACCAGCAAAAATAAACATTGAAGTAATACCTAGTATAGAAACAAGCACAACAAATAATAGAACAATAAAATAATAGAACCAGCATTATATCCATCCAAAACTGTAAAGTAAACTGTAAAGTATTTAAAGTGTATTGAACCTGTATAGTCTGCAGGGAATCAGGTGTTGAGTCCTGGTTTGAGCCGGGCAGTGAGCAAGGCAGCAGCAGCTCTCTGGAGGCGACGGGTTTAAGGAGGAGGGAGAAATATGGAGACGGCTGGAGGATGTAGTGGGAATATACACCTGTGAAAAAGGTTCGATCAGAGGATGTGAATGCAAAAACACAGATGGACTGACAAATTGTGGACTTCTTTTTCTGCGATATGTTTTTTTTTTTGTACTCTGACCTGAGCCTCCGGCTATGGACCTTTTATCAGGTTCCGCCTTCAGCAAGAGGAACAAGTCTTGACTCTGATGTCAGAGAGAAGAGATACTAGATCAGAAAATGGCTTTTAGTGCATACAGGGAGATATGGAGAACTTGAGAGAGCAGTAACATGCCATTTAAAATTATTTTGGCAGACTGAGACATACAGTAACAGCGAAACCAAACAAAAGTTTAATTAGTTTCAACACTGGATTAGCAGAGATCTCTCAAAACCTACTGCAACAACAAGGTCGATTCCTTTATTTCTGCTGAAAAATGAAGGACTATGCCCTGAAAAAAATCATCTGAGGCTTTCATGGAGGTTAAATTTCACAATTATTTTTTTTAAGTTTAGAAATTTGAAGATCCTGCAGGTAACAAAAAGGTAGCGGCTGAAATAAAGAATCTTTTGACTGTGAAACAAAACACAAACCATGTTTAGCCGCCTTTCATATAACATCTGTTATACCTTCCATTTTTTGTAATTTAAGGCTCTGAGAAGCGCCCACATCTCCAAATTGTACATAGATGCTGTTTTTTAGGAGATAGGCCTTAGATACATTATAAACAAAAAAAACCTGTCAAGCTTTAAAAGAGAAACCTCCTCATTGTTTAGCGATGAGGAGAAAATAAAAACAAGGATGGAAAATTTCTTTTTAGCTTTTGTTTTATTGTAATACTTCAATGCTTCAAATTGTTATCTAAATAGTTTTTAAAAACGATAAAAAGATACCTGAAAAAATACAGAAAAAACAGACTGTCTCCATGTTTTATCAATAAAAGTAGTTTGAGTGTTTCAGAACTAAATCACATTTCAAACAATGAATTACCTGTAAAATTTTCGTTTAGAAAGCTGAGTTCATTTTCAGCAGCCAGACACAGTCGCGATTAGTCCTAGATCCTAAGATTACACATTGAGCCTTGATCTTAACGTATTCAGAAGCAGATGAGGAAGAAAATCATAGACATTTCTAAGTCTGGAAATAATTTCTAAGGTATTTCTGAAGCTTTGGCACTCCAGTGATCCATCCTGAAAGTCATTATCTATAAAAGGAGAACACATGGAACAGTAGGGAACCTTTCCAAAGTATCCAGCCCACAACAGTTACCCAAAAAAACATATTGACAAGGAGGGGTTTTGATTTCACACAGGACCACATGGCTTCCTTTAATAAATCAAAACAGTTTGAAAACTACATTTGAAATTGTATGAAAAATGACAATAGTTTTTTTCACAGCCCTTTAGATCCAGTATCCTGATGGCTCAGTAGTGTCATGCTTCTTTTCAGGCTGAAGAGATTCTAAATCTGCTATAATCCAGTTGCTTAAATGGTGGTAGACCATCACAGGAGGCCGTTAACCCACTGTGAAGAATGTTTAGTTCCAGATCAATCAAAGAGCTTAGAAGGTAGCAGATTTTTCCAATTAAACACCAGATCCTTAAGGAAGCCACTGTTGGACCAGGATAATAAAAGTAGAAAGTCCTTGTTTTTTTGAACAGCTTTGACCCTGAAACCTAGTGACATCACCAGTGGTCTACAGCTGTTTTCCCATGATATGTTACACTTTCAGTTTCCTTCTCAGCTTTTAGTCTTAAGAGCAACTTCTCCTTTTCTGTAAGAGTAGGCAGCTTTTCAGCAGTCACATGAGGTTCTTAAACAACATCTGTTATCAAACCCAAACAGCTTCAGATAACTAGAGAAAAAAAAATGGCTTCGCTGTTGGAGTAATTTTAGGGGGCCATATCTCCCCCTAAAATTACCTTATACAATCTAAAAAAAAAAAACCCACATCAATAAGTGCACCTAGACATGAAAGCTTTGCTCAAACCTTTAATACAACTGTAAGAAAGGGAATGTGTTAAATGGTTTACACACCCTGAGGGTCTGGCAGAGAGCATGAAACAGGCTGTTGTTGGCCTCCATCTCGTCCCAGTCCAGCTGCCAGGAGATTGTGGGTCGGATCACCAGCGGCAGCCCGTACAGCACACTCTCACACACTCCGTCTGCATGCAGCACCCTTCAAAACACACAGCATAAAAGATAAAACAGCAGTACATGTTTTTGTTTATTTGAGATGTTTTGGGGCAGTAGTGGATTTTATTTACAATAGGAAATGTGCAGAAAGGGATCAGGGGAAAAAGAAATGCAGAAATGTTCCCATGATTGGTTAAGGAGCCATGGTTGCATCATTTATTGGTTGCCTGCTCTGCTGCACCATCTTGAACCATCCAACGAAAAGGTTTGGTGACTACAACTTCAAAATGCCTGTGATGGGAGCTAAGCCAGATATGATGACATCATTACTTAAATATATGAGCCAAAAACTGTGACTCATTTATGTAAAGCACCTTTTTGTTCCTGGACACAGGCTCATGTCGGCTCTAACTGTAGCTCTGCTGAAATGCAAAATCCATGCAAATCAGGAGAGTGGTTAACAGAAGCAAACAGGTCTCTAAACACCTAGTTTTCTGCTTTCTGATGTGAGGACACAAAGGACACAGTGTGTTTGTGTGTGTGTGTGTTTATGTGCTGGTGACATCAGCCCTTAAACATAAGCCAGGTGTTTTTTGGCATCTGAGAAAAAAAATGGCTAAAAATGTATTCAAAGCAGCTGCATGGCTAAATGCATCTACATGAGAAACAAAGATAATAAAAGGAAATATTATAAAACTAATAATTCAAATGAAGATTGTTGAAACTTTTAGAGGCAGTTCTTGTGAAACAAATAGACTAAGGTTACAAGTATGTCATCCTTTCTAATTACATTAGTACCACTCTTTAAATGGCCAAAGACTCAGGAGTGTTTAGTCACAAGGAGAATTAATGCAGGGGGCTGAGGGAGGGAGATGATAACAGAAATGGAGAGAAACGGTAAAAAAAAAAAAAATCTGACATGAGTAATACAAAACAGGAAAGAATGAACAAAGAATCTGTTGCAAATACAAGTGAAATAAATCATCAAAAACTAGGAAGCATAAACAGGAAGGAAGAAAAAGAGATATAGAGAAACTCACAAACTGAAACCCTTAAAGATTGAGACTCCTATGAAGTAACAAACTAAACACTGTTTGGACATCTTTCCTCCACAGGAACAACTAATCTGCTCTCACATCATTCTCTTCTGTATGATGTGGATTCGGATTATATTTATAGTACTACACACCAAAGTGAAGTGCAGCGAAATTCTCATTTGTCTAATTTAAAACACTTTGGGGCTGATCTTCATGTCTGCATGTCTTAAAACAGGTGTAAATATGTTTGTACGTGCAGAGCCGGTCTTAAAAAAGAAGTAAAATGATTTGTGTTCGCAGTTCAGCAGACAGTGTGTGCAAAGATTTTTATGCACAATTATGTTTTATACATTTGTACCCGTTTTAAGATAAGCAAGCATTCTTCTTCTTCTTCTTCTTCTTCTTCTTGTTCTTCTTCTTCTTCTTCTTCTTCTTCTTCTTCTTCTTCTTCTTCTTCTTCTTCTTCTTCTTCTTCTTCTTCTTCTTCTTCTTCTTCTTCTTCTTCTTCTTCTTATTATTATTATTATCATTACTACCTCTGTTTCCATGACTTAAACCATAATTTTTCTCTTACAACCACTCTTGACGGTCACATGCAATCTGCTCATTTTGGTTGAAACTAAAACTGTTTGCACGTCCTAATATTTGTAGATAACTTGCAAAACAGACACTTATTGCAGGCTCTAAAGATTTCATGTGACTACTAGCGCTTCTTCTGAATCTTTGATGCTGATGCTCATCCTGCAAACACAATACAGCATTATACTGGGAATACTTTTCTCAAAGCAGTGATGTTGATGATTTAATGGGGATGTAAATGGAGAAAAAAGAAAAAACGGCTAAAGGAGCTTACATTAATGTCAAAAGTTGGGAAAGCCTGAAAACATCACATTATATAACTTCTAAAACACAACTACTGAAAACACAAAATGTAACTTGACTTCATAGTGATGATTTAAACTGTATTGGACTTTCAAATTTAGACAAGAAGCTATCAAAATATGGGTGATTAAAGCTTAATTTTTTTTTTTTTTGCAAGTCACTTGGTGTTTTTATTTTTATTTTAGCAGAATCATTTTCCATTTATTCATTAAAAACTTCACCAAAACATCTTACAGTAAGAAGTGCCTCATTATGTTGCTTCCTTGTGTTCCAGCTGGTCCAGAAATAGAACAATAGTGATGAAAGGATGTAAAGCATATGGAGGATATAAACAAGCCAGTCAAGAAAACTTCTTTAAGCCCAACTGATTTTTGTTCCGCTCAACTGCGCTCGCTTTAAGATGTTTCAAACACCAGAGCAGGACAAAGCATCCTCTGATATGAGACAGAGTTCCATCTAAGAAACATTCCACCACTTCATAGAGTCAGAATGAAGGCATTCATAGCCAGAGGAGGTAGGTTTCATCACACGGACGGTAAATGGCTCAAGGACATGGCAGATGATATGGAAAAGGGGGAATTCGTGTTGTGTGCAAGAAAAGAAAAACTATTAAAAAACTTAGTTTAGTTTTCTTAGCAGTTTTAGGAACAGTAGTGGACCCAGAAAGCATTAGAGGCACTGCATATCTCTGATAGCCAAGAAACATCTTAGTAGCCTCAAAATGGCTCTGGAGAGAGCAGCTGTTGGGGGATCTTTACCCACTGATCTGATCTTGGGTGAGGAGATGACAGCAGATAGATAAATAGCTCTTCTTTCAGATCGCGCCACCCTTCAGTCAGTATGAAGGAGATTTAGTCACTAATGTGCCTATGTTAATTCATAGTCATTCAGCTTTGGGGTTTAGACATCAACAAACCTGTTGCTGGTTTACCACCAGTTCTGTCTGGAGCCCTTTGACAGAAACCATTGCAGATCAGAAATATTAACAAGATTAAAAGTTTTGGAAACAATCTGACTCAATCACCCACTTGTTACCATCTAACTAAGTAGACTGAATAATAAATATAAAAGTGGAAATGTGCATGATTAAGGTAAATATTCAAGATCTAAGAAATAGGTCATGAAGTAGCCACAGTCCTTCCAAAAAATTCAAAAGAGTTTTTGAAATACTGGAGGAAAAATTAGTCGAGACATCAGTAAATGGCATTAAATTTGGATTACTTGGAGGCAAATTATGAAAAATGAGGACAAGTTCAGGACTTTTGCACTGTTTAGTATGTCCACAAGGATTTACCAATCTGTAGAACTAAGTCACAAACAATCTCATTGTGATCACCTATTCTTACTTTAGTATGAGATTAGACAAGCCTAAATCTAAAGCTTAGATTTCCTCAATCTTGCTATTTAATGAAGACAGTATGTAGCGACTCCATAGCAATCCTTGTCGCTCGGTAGAGATAGGGCCCTGTATGTGTATGATGTGCTGCAGTCTTAATCAGAAATGCACTCTGAATCCAAGAATACGCTGTTGGTGTTTTAATACTGTTTGGTAGCTTATATAGTCACTCACAACAGATTGTACTGTCCTCCGGAATGCAGGTGAACACACCCATTTAAGCAATTAGCTGTCACCACAGCAACTACGCCCCAGGTGATACATATTACACCTACACAATAGCTATTAAACATATTTCTAAACTTATTATTTTGTGCATCTGGTTGAAATGAAATCAGCTTTTTAGAAAAGAAGATAATTTGTCTGCTGCTGTCTTCTTGAACCCCAGTCGGCCTTGGCAGATTGCCGATCACACTGAGCCTGGTTTTGCTGGAGGTTTCTTCCTGTTAAAAGGCAGTTTTCCTCTCTTCTGTCGCTACATGCATGCTCAGTGTAAGGGATTGCTCTGGAGTCAATAAGCCGATGTGATCATCTAGTTTTCCTTTGACAGAAAACTTTGAACCAATCTGACTGTATGATCTGGTTGAATTGTAAAGTGCCTTGAGCTGACATGTGTTGTGAAATGATGCTATATAAATAAACTGAACTTAACTGAAAACTTACATTTTTGATGAATCCAATTTAAAGAATGGCTCCAAGAGGAAGTAAAATATATTACAGATGCTATAATTCAAAGAGCAGGTCTGTTCACTGCTGAGGCTCACACGCATATTGGGTAAGATAACTGTTGATTAAAACATATGTGGGGGTGTCTAAATTTGTCAATAAAGGCGAACAAATTTCAGATTTGTATTTATTTTATACATGTGAAATCAGATGTTTAATCTGTGCGAAAGTTTAGTGTCATGGTTTTGGTTATGTTGTGCTTTACTTTGCTCCATGTTTCCTAGTTTTATTGGTTTAATTCTTATTTTGTTGTAGTTTCTAGATTTATGTTAGTTCTCAGGTGTTTCTGTTGTTGTCCTCTGTTGCCCTCTTGTGTGTGTGTGTTCCTTTCCCGTTGGCTCCCTCGTTGTCTCCTCACACCTGCTCCTTGTCAGCTCGTTAGGCCTCCCTTTATCTGTCAGCTACATATACTCTCCCTCTGCAGTCACTCCTTGTTGGTTCCTTGTTGTTGCTGGCTTCTCATGTTGTTGTCTTCATACCTCATCTCTCCCTGGCTCCTCGTGTTTAGTTTCCCCTGATGTCTCCATGGTTCTGGTTTGCTTTACATTTTTAGTTGGATTTTTGGATTCCTGCCTTTGTTAAACTGTTTCCTTTGATTAAATCTGCAAGAACTCACGTCTGCCTCCCTGCCTCTGCATTTGGGTCCACAAACACCAACCAAAACCTGGCATTTAGAAGTTCATACAAGTTACAAAGTTCCAACTTTGCAAAAAAAGTAAAAATCCAAAATTTAGGAGTATGAACCTAAAATCCCTGATAGAGCTGTTGCACTCCTTATCAGTTTGTTGCAATAATGCACAATACATTTTAAATTTCTTAACCTTCATGGACTTATATTAACCAATTATGACTCCTACATTTTTATTGACAGTTGTTGTCCCCAATATGTGCTTACTTGACAGCTCTCAGACTCTGTGGAGTCGGGCTTTGATTGCCAGGGCCTCGGACCGCAGGCAGGAAGTCTTGGATGCTTTCGGTCTTCACTCCCAGGCTGGTGGTAAGTGGGATGAGGGCGGGGCTTATCAGACGCTCCAGCATGTCACATTTCACACAAACTGGAAAAAGTGTGAGCGATGCATGTCTTTAAATCTGTTCAAGTGAATAAATGTGGGTTTGTGCGGATCTTGGATCTATCTGACCTGGATTATTAGTGGTGCCAGGAAGCAGTAGGTGGAGATGCTCTTTGTCACCTCCCTGCTCCTGAAGCCACATCTTTAAAATGGTCTCCATGGCAAACACGCTGTCCTCCACCTGCTGCAGGTCCACCTCAGTCCCTAACATCAGTGAATCTGCAGGGAAACACACACACACTCCTCAGTAAAAGACTGATATGCTGCAGGACACTGCACACTTCCTCCCAAACTTTAAGTCAACTTATCAATTTTCACTTTGGACTTCAGCCGCTTTTTCAACCATTTTAACTCCAATCTTTGACCAGAATGTGTCTTTGAGGTATACTGCTGGCAGCAAAGAGATTTAATCTAAAACTGATTATCTCCCTGTTGTTTTTGTGTAGACACAGCTTTAATGCACCCCATCAGTTTGAAAGCAATTTTATTCCTGAATGATCCCAAACAAGCAGCAGCACCTTTATCTTTATTGAATCTATTTGACATTTTGAAGACTGCCAAGAGAGATGTAATCAACATTTGAGTGCTGCCTATAAGTGTATTTGTAAATTTAATGGAGGGATAAAGTTTGGTAGAAAAAGAAAAGGCAAAGATCAAATATTTCTTTGCCTTCTGTCTGTAGAGCTTCTTCATTAACAAGCCTTATGGAGATGCTGAGTTAATTTCCAGCAGGATCTCTCACCTGTTTATGCTTCCAAAGGTACTACAAGCTTGTTCAGTGACTGTTACTGCGGATGTAATCGCTAAGACTTTCTAAGGGATTTTATCAGGAGGAAAATTAGACACCAAAGGAAAAGCAAATGGCTGAGGCCAACCCCAGCAGCAGCCTGCTCTTCCTTAATGCCTCATTAGAACCACGTGCTTTCATCCACCATGCACTGATTCAGTAATTCATGCATAGGGAGCACTGACTGAGTACTGAGCTCATTATCCTTGGATTTATACAGTATATTAAAAAAAAAAAAAATATTTTGTTTTTCTTTTAATAAACATAGTTTAGGTTTCAATAAGCTGTTATCAATGGTAATCAAACCCAAGTCAAACCTTCATCCATCCACTCAATGATCTTCTTTGATTTAACTTTTTTAAGATAACATAGACTTTATTGATCTCACAGTGGAGAAATTCACTTGTCACATCATCTCAATAGCCAGAAGAAGGTGCCAAAAGAAGGAAAAGCTTCAGAAAATCCCCTGAGAAGAGTATTATCCCACTTTAAAAAGGGCTTTTAGTTGGTCAGCGTTTTTTTTTTATATAAACAATTCCATGTTTATACATATACAAAGACATATATAGACATAAATCCATAAAGCGTTTCTTCAGATATATTTACACCGGTGGATTATCAGTAATCTGACCTGTCAACAGGGGAATCTTGCTGTTGCCATTTTTACATTTTCTTCTTCATTTATCTGCACCTCATGATACTTTTCACTTACAATCATTCTGCTTTCCTCATGCACCTTCACTGCAACAATCTAATAGAGTAATTTTATGCTGTCTCTACAGTTTTTTAAATAATTGTTTATAATAGATTCCACCTTTCCTGGGTTGTCACTGTACAACTGGCCTAAAGATGAAAAGAGCCTTTGGCCAATTCTGGCTTGGTACAGGTGTACAATACGCTCCATCCTAGTTAATCAACAACAATATTTGAATTTAAAATAAGCAAAAACAAATGCTTTAAACTGCTGTATTTGTGCTTGCTGTCTCTTTGTGTCTGATTGAGTGATCTAAAACATTACAAGAACTTAAGACAGAAGCTTTTTAAATGTTGTACTGCTAATCTACAACCATGCAAACATGTCTAAAGTCCTTCTCACAAGCAGACAGAGATAACAGATAGCAACCTAAAAAGACAAAAACATGGATAAGAAAGAAGTTATCACTACAGAGGTGATAGTGGTGAGGCACTTACTGAGCAATAAGCAGCTAAAGCCCCAAGTTTCAGAGACTTAATCAGCTAAGAAAGTAAGAAGATAAATTAATGACTTTAAAAAGGTTACAAGAAAGAAACCATAAAAATATATATTCCATTAATGAAAGATGATAATACCTAACCTTTGTTGTCAAAGAATCCTACATCAGAAAAAAAAGTGCTCAAACTTTTATGCTTTCGTCCCTCAACAGAGGAAGTGTTGCCTAGGCAATGGTTTGTATCTCACCACTAGATGGCAGCGTTATTCAACACATGTGACAACAATTGGACCACAATCTCTGTGACCCAAACCATCTTAGGCTGTCATTTGAAATATTTGCCCTCAGACGAAGACCTCCACCATCTGATGGTTGTCAAGCAGAAATCTGTGTGAAATCTTTATTTTTCATATTTTTCACATAATTTACTACCCTGTTGTTTGTTGTTACGGCTTACTTCAAAGCATAAACTCGAAACTTTCTTCTCTCTATGTTTTACCAAAGGCTTGACACAAATCTTATCTAATCTTATGTCTTTCATCCTCCCTGTTTGCCTGCTGTTTAAAAGTTAATGAGCCGTCAGCTGATAACTAATGGGACTAAAGGGAGAGCAGAGGATCAGGAGGTCAGCAGAAGGGAGGATAAGTTGGAGACAAAATATCCACACAATCCACTTTTTGATGAAATTAAGTAAGTTAAAATTCCTACAGCAGACTGAAGTACTTCCCCGTCTATCATAAGCTTCTAGCTTATTTTGATTCATTTGCAACATCAGTAGATCTCCATCTAGAAATATGGTAGAGGAGAAAGAATCATCATTTTTTATTGTTCTCCTCCGATTCATCACTAAAAGTTGGAAACTGACCACTAAGTGAAAGTCGGAGAGGCTAAGAGAAGATTTAAAACCGTTCTAATTAGTCAGCCTTTATTTGTTTAAGGCAACATTTACACTGCTGCCTGAAGTGACCTAAATCCGATTTTTTTTGCCCATATGCGACCTGGATCTGATCTTTTAATGACTGTCTGAACAACACAGATGCAATTTTTTCTGATGCGACCCAGGCCGCTTGGATATGTGGTCCTGAATCTGATACGAATCTGATTTTTTGAAATGCGACCTGTGTGTGAACAGCCAGGTCGCATCCATCCTACCTTAATGTCATTAATACCCGACAGTGGTCACTATTCAGATTATTACTAATCGGATTAAAAAAAAAACGGAATTGAGCATCAAGGCCTGAAGAGTGAACGTAGCCAAAGACTCATGCTGGAAATTTAAACTTGGCATTCTGTTCTTCTCAGAACATGGATATGCAGACTTTTCCTGATTCACTCTGGGTCATCTATAAAAAGACATCTGTTAAGAGAACCAGTTCATTAAGAAACAATGTTAAAGGAATAGTACACCCAAAACATGATTAGCCTTCATTTTCTACTCACCCCCATGCTGAACAACACTCTGGAGTACTTTTTTGATATCTCAAATGCATCTGGAGATCTGGGAGGCTTCTTGCTGTCTGCTGACATTCAAATAATGGAGGTCTATGGTGACCGAGACAGAAAGGTCCATAAAAGTCCACAAAAAAACGTGTCAATATTCCTCCATACTGCTCGTCCAATGTATTCCAAGTGTCCTGAGTGGGTAGCATCCAGAATTTACTCGAAACAAAGTCATTTAGAATGTTTTTAGAGCATAAACAGTAGTGTATAGGATTTCCTGAAAGCGCGCACATGCGTGATCACGACGCTACGGAAGCCGGCAGACCAAACCAGATGAAAGTGCGCATTCAGCGTCTGCTCTTCCAATAATGCAAGCATAGAAGAAGAAATGTGCCGTTTACTTGTGCAAAGAAAGAAACAACGAAAGAAAAATGTCTGAGGACTTCAGTGTTGAGGAAGAGCATGAGTTCTTTGCCGAGCTGAATGCGCTGGTTTGGTCTGCCGGCTTCCGTAGCGTCGGGATCGCGCATGTGCGCGCTTTCAGGAAATCCTATACACTACTGTTTATGCTCTAAAAACATTCTAAATTACTTCGTTTCGAGTAAATTCTGGATGCTACCCACTCAGGAAACTTGGAATACATTGGACGAGCAGTATGGAGGAATATTGACACGTTTTTTGTGGACTTTTATAGACCTTTCTGCCTCGGGCGTTATGGACCTCCATTATTTGAATGTCAGCAGACAGCAAGAAGCCTCCCAGATCTCCAGATGCATTTGAGATATCAAAAATGTACTCCAGAGTGTTGTTCAGCATGGGGGTGAGTAGAAAATGAAGGCTAATCATGTTTTGGGTGTACTATTCCTTTAAGCCATGTAATAGGAATTCATAAAAAAAAAAATCAAAATGGAAATGAATCTGGCTGTGACACCATTCTGGAGAGAAATATCAGCTGTGTTCGAGATCTGCCTGTTTTTCAGTGTAGTCCTGTTTCTCTAACTGTGACTAACTGGATGTGCTCTCTCCATCCTCTGACATGGGAGCTGGCTTGGAACTCATCTGCCTTGCTGTGTGTTTCCTGGGGAGCTATTTTTGCTTCTTTTCTATGTTTGCTTCCCTCTCTATGAACCCCAGTTGGCCTCGGCAGATGGCCGCTCACATTTAGCCTGGTTCTGCTGGAGGTTTCTTCCTGTTGACAAGGAGTTTTTTCCTCTCCACTGTCCCTACAAGCATGCTTAGTGTGAGAGATTGCGTTTGAGTTAATGAGTCGATGCAATCAACTGCTTTTTTTTAGATAGAAAACTTTGAACGAACCTGACTGTATGATCTGGTTGAATTGTAAAGTGTCTTGAGATAACGTGTCATGAGTTGGCACTTTATAAATAAAATGACAGCTAATTGAAAACATATAGTATAGAAGAAGAGTTTATATATATCTACCTGCACTAAGGCGACTGATTTAAAACAACAACTGTCGAGCTAGTTCAGTGGGAAATCCTTTAATCACGTGAAATGGTTGCTAGCACGTGCCTCACAAAGGGCATGGGTCTGTTGAGATAGGTCTCATAGTCTCTTCAGATGTGTTGGAGCACGGACACATTCTTAACATGGAGGGACAATGGCCCTCAGACACCAGGATTGTCCCTCTGAGTTCCTGTAGTTCGTACCGCATTGAGACAATGAGTGAAAGGAGATCACCTGAGTGCCTTTGGTGTTGTTGGTCAAGTGATTTCAGAATATAAGAGTTTAGAATCAAAGAGTAAGATCGCTAGCAGGATTGGAGATTTTTTCTCCATACTGTG